CACGGAAGTCCGAAAAAAGTACGATCAAGTCCCGCATGGCCATACGATAGACGGACACGAATCCTTCCCTGTCGTGATGAAACTGTGCTCCTCGTGCCATGCGTACCATCAGAAACCGATCGATCGTAGCCCAAGAAACGTGCCTGCCTTTGCATTTGTGTAACAATCAATCGCGCACCCGCATGTACACAACTGTAGCCGATCGACAAGCTACCATTATTCCATTAATGCCTAAGGGGAGGAGGGGCTGAGCCATCTCCCATAAGAGGCGCACACACCGAAAGGCATAGCTCGAGCTCGAGTCAGGCATCAACTGGCAAGTTCGAAGCACCGCCTCCTTCCCATGGAGCAGGCGAGGAGGAAGAGTTCACGGTCATGGACGGCGGCCGTGGCCCTGGTGTCACTCTTTGCCGTAGTCGCCGTTGCCGCGGCGGGGGCGCCGGTGCCGAGGAGGATCCTGGTGGACACGGACATGGACACCGAGGACCTCTTCGCGCTGCTCTACGTCCTCAAGCAGGACCGGTCCAAGTTCGACGTCAAGGTAATTTGGTGCCATGCCACTCGTCGTCGCCGCGCTCACATGCATGCTGGAAATGGAATGTTCTGCTGACCCCGTCGGTAAGTTGTGATGTGAACCTACACTGTCTGTCGTAGGCCATTACCATCAACGCCAACGCATGGATCGACGCCGGCCACGGGATCAACCAGCTCTACGACATCCTCTACATGATGGGCCGCGACGACATCGCCGTCGGCGTGGGCGGCGACGGAGGCATATCGGACGCCGGCGAGATACACCCCGACGTCGGCGGCTACCTCCCTCTCATAGACCAGGTACTACTAACAACATGAGAAATGCATTGATCGATGACTCGGCCGCCGGCATGCTACTCATTACCATTTACCGACATGTAAAAATACGTATGTACGGCAGGGCATGTCCACCGTCCACGGCGGGCGGCTGCCGGTACCGGCAGGCCATCCCCCCGGGAAGCCACGACGGGCGCCTGGACACCGACACCAACTCCGGCGTCCGGAGGGGCTTCCTCCCGCGGGGACCCCGGCAGTACGAGCCGCTCCGGCAGCCCACGGCGCAGCAGGTGATGGTGGACACGGTGTCGGCCGGCCCCACCACGCTGCTCCTCTTACGGGCCCTGACCAACGCCGCGCTCCTCCTCACGGCGCACCCGCACCTTTTTTTTAGAAAAGGAGGATGACCCCCGGCCTCTGCATCTGGGCGATGCATACGGCCACTTTATTAATTATTCTCACAAGACCTTACAAAGATATACAACAGCAAGACTAAAGCCACTTTCTCAGCAACAACTGTCGCTACACCTATCCAATCGATGAAGGGGCGCTGATAGTCTGGGCCTAATACCAAACAGATATCGCAGCCAAACCTAAACATCTAAGACCTGAGGTCCTAACCAGGACGCCTGCCGGGTATGGGGTACCTACCAGTCCGGCACACTCCCCAACCAGGACGCCTGCCGGGTATGAGGCCGCCGCAGCCACCTGCCACCAAACCATCTTCAGAGCTGTACTGGGCGCACCCGCACCTGAGGCGCAACGTCGAGCGCGTCTACGTCTCCGGCGGCGGCGTGCGGGTGCCGGGGAACCTCTTCACCGCCGACGACACCAACCCATTCGCGGAGTTCAACATGTTCTGCGACCCCTTCGCCGCCTACGTGGTGCTCCACTCCGGCGTCCCCGTCACGCTCGTCCCACTCGACGCCACCAACAGAATCCCGGTCACTGAGGAGTTCTTCGCAGAGTTCGGCCGGCAATGGCAGAGCACGCCCGAGGCGCGCTACTGCTTCCAGTCGCTGGACCAGGTCCTGAGGAGACTCAGAAGGCCCGCGCCCGGCCTCCATGGCAGCACGGCAAGCTCTCAATTCAATTCAAACTCTTCCATTTTGTCCATCCTAGCTACACAAATATCTCAATTCATCAATTACTGCAAGGGTTTTACCCGTGGGATTCTTTTACCGTCGGTGTCGGTGTCAAAACCGGCAGATCTCGGGTAGGAGGTACCAAACTGTGCGTCTAGGCCGGATGGTAACCGGAGGCAAGGAACACGATGTTTTACTCAGGTTCGAGCCCTCTTGATGGAGGTAAAACCTTACGTCCTGCTTGATTAATATTGATGATATGGGTAATATAAGAGTAGATCTATCACGAGATCAAGGAGGCTAAACCCTAGAAGCTAGCCTATGGTATGATTGTTGTATGATGAAGTTGTCCTACGGACTAAAACCCTCCGGTTTATATAGACACCGGAGAGGGTTAGGGTTACACAAAGTCGGTTACAATGGTAGGAGATCTTGAATATCCGCATCGCCAAGCTTGCCTTCCACGCCAAGGAAAGTCCCATCTGGACACGGGACGAAGTCTTTAATCTTGTATCTTCATAGTCCTGGAGTTCGGCTGAAGGTATAGTCCAGCTACCCGAACACCCCCTAATCCAGGACTCCCTCAGTAGCCCCTGAACCATACTTCAATGACAACGAGTCCGGCGCGTAGATTGTCTTCGGCATTGCAAGGCGGGTTCCTCCTCCAAATTCTTCATAAAAGTTTGTAAACACCAAGAGTAGTGTCCGGCTTTGCAAAATAAGTTTTCACATATTGCCACAGAGAGAATAATATTAACACAAATCTAATCTGCTGACGTATTCCGCAGCGTGACATCACACTACGGCCAAGCCTTTATTCGAATCGTTTTCACTTTTCCACCTCAGCGTGTTTTGCGAGGCGGTTTCCTTGGCACGTCTTGTCAAAGCAGAGATCGTGTCCCCCATTTATGGGATTCTCATCAATACGGACGTGGGTAACCCAACCGCGCCATTTATCACGGCGCTTGGGAGGCAAGCGAGTTTTACTAGGCTGGTGGGGATGCATAGTCGCATCCGCTCATATAAGGGGATAAGGATCCACCTTTTTACCTACGCCTTCTTCCTCCTTTGCCTATCCATTTTCTGCGCACCCGAGCTCCAGCGCCCAAGCCCGCACTTCCTACCTCAACCTTCTCCAACAATGTCCAGAGCGGGAGGCAAGTGGATGGTCTCCTCCGTCACGGAGGGCCATGTCAAAAGGCTAAGGAAGGCCGGATACCTGTCCAAAGACATCGCGCACCGGCTTCCTGAGGAGGGGCAGCTTCTCCCCACCCCAAGGCCCCATGTGAGGGTAATATTCTTCCCCACTTCCTCCGCGGACTGGGTTTTCCTCTCCACCCATTTGTCCGCGGGCTCATGTTCTACTATGGCCTAGACTTCCACGATCTGGCCCTGAACTTCATCCTCAATATCTCAGTGTTTATCGTCGTGTGCGAGGCTTTCCTCTGCATTCGCCCCCATTTCGGCCTCTGACTCAAGACCTTCAACGTCAAGCCAAAGGTGGTACGCAGGAACCAGGCAGAGTGCGGAGGTGCCATGGCGGGCAAAATAGCCAACGTCCTATGGCTCGAGGGCTCCTTCGTGGAGACCTTGAAGGGGTGGTAGTCAAGGTGGTTTTACATCATCGAGTCATGCGATCCGAAGTGGATCGCAGCCCCTGAATTCCGATCCGGACCCCCTACACGGCTCACGTCCTGGAAGGAGACGGGCTTGTCGTGGGGCGACAAAGAAGAGGTGACCGGACTGCAAAAATGCATCCAGTCCCTAGTGAACAAGCAGCTCAAGCTTGTCAACATAGTCCAGGTCATGCTCGTCCGCCAGATCCTTCCGTGTCAAGAACGGGACTTCAATTTGTGGGAGTTCAACCCGGCGCAGCACCGAACTCTGAGCAGGCTCTTCGACATGACGTACGAAGATGTCTGGAAGGGGCTAACCAAGGCGCCGAGGCTCCCACATCCACCTCCGAAGACCGCGGATTCAGCTCGCAGCGTCCTGTTGGCGAGGTAAAATATTTTCATCTTTTACAAGATGTTAAGTTTTCTTCATAGTTTGACTCTATGCGGGATCTAAACTCCCTCACCTTTGACAGGATTGGCAGGCGAAGTCCGGACTGATTAACTGTCCGGCTCCCTTGCCCGAATACCCAGCCACTGTCTCCTAGTGAAGCTGCTGGTTCCGGCACCTTATGTGGTGCCGGAGAAGAAGGCCAAGAAGAAGAAGGCCACGGGGACTCGAAAGAGTTCCCGACATATGGTGGTGTCGGACTCATCGTCCGACGAGTCCGAGACACACTCCTCCCGTGAAGACGAGGAGGAGGAAGAAGAAACCTCTCCTCCTCCAGCGGGGGGAGGAAAGAAGAGGAAGGCCACCCTAGTAGGGGAGGCCGAGGGGTCCAAGAAGAGGAAAACCCCTCCGCCGGACTACGCCCCCGACACCGACGAGGACGAAGAGGAGTGGCCGGATAGGGCCAAGCGTCCGCGAAATCGTAAGTTTTCGGATACCAGAGTAACTCGTGATATTCCTTTTGTTGCACAGCTTTCCCTGATGTCGAATATAATCATGCAGCCCGCCCAAGGACGGGCTCAACGAGTCGTCGAGCGGCTCCCTGGATTCATCGGACGTGAATTCAGTTCCGCCCGCTGCCTCCCCCTGCGTTGTGGATGACGCCGAAGTGGCGTCGCGACAAGCTCCGGGGCAAGAGGAGGTGGTCCAGGAGGAGCCGCGAGGCGACCTCCCGGACTCCAGGAGTAAAGGGGACAAGACCCCCTAGGGCTTCAAGTCCGGCTTTAAGCCGGACACCGCGTCGGAATCATCAATGGTTCTGGACCGCGGCAGGCGAACTCCTGCCAAGAGGAGCAAGCCTATTGAGCCGGCGTCCTCCGCCCAACCGGAGGCGCCGGACAATCTGCTGGAGGTGCTTAAGGGCGCCTCCATCGACGAGGAGCACCGTACCATTATGAGTACGGTGGTCCAGAAGGTTCAGTCCGCCAAAAGCGGACTGACTAAAGCTTGTGCTAGCCTTCTAACAGGCTTCGAGGTAAGTAAAAATATGTAAAAATATTACCGCATAGACAGTAGCCCCTGATGCTTTGTTTGGCATTCGGAAAGAAAAGCCGAATAGAGGATCTATTAAATATCGCAGGAGTCTAACTAAAAAAGAGTCAATATACGTATGCAGGCTTCGCTGCTGGCCACCGCCGCACAGACTGCGGAGGTGGATGCCCTGAAGTAGGGCCTCGAGCGGACCGAGCAAGAGCTCGGCCTTGCCAAACGGCAGCTCGAGGAGAAAGAAGGTAAGAGATACCTTATAGAAAAAATGCCTATAAGAAGACGCGATTGCAAAAAATGACAGGAGTATACTGTTTATTGTAGGGGCCACAGCTGAGGTGGCGACCCTCAAGCAGGCGCTGTCCGAGGCCAAGAAGAGAGCGGCCACGGAGCGCGCCAAGCGGGAGAAATTTGAGGCGCAGGTCGGTGAGGTGCAGCAAGAGCTTCAGGCTCTCATGAAAAAACATGAGAGTTTGGAGCTCGACTCGAAGACGCGAGCGTCCGAGCTTGCTGCGGCCCTTAAAACTGCCAAATCTGCCAAGGCCGAAACCTAGAAGGCCCTCCAGGAATTGGATGCGGTGAAGAAGATAGCGGCGGGTAAGGCATTCTCTATGCAAAGCAGACATATAAAAGTAAACTACTTGTTACTTACCCGAATCCGGAGCTCTCCAGGGGCATTCGCAGATCTTCCCCGCAGTGTATCCGATGCCGCCGCATTCTACCGAGCCGAGGAAGGCAGCTCGACGGAGAAGGTGTTCCGGTCTCAGTACGCTGAGGCCGGACACCCTGTGCCCTTGAGCGACCATCTGAAGCAGCTGGTCGAGCTCCACAAGGCGGCCGAACAGGCCCTGAAGGGCTTCATAGTTCGGCTGTGGCCTGGAGAGGCCCTGCCTGGGAGCTACTTCGGAC